GCCGCCCACCCACCCACTCGGGCGCTTCCTAGCCTCCAAGGGCCTCGCTGTCTAGCTTTGGGGTCGCACGGCCCGTCGCCCCTCTAGCACTGCTACCAGGATTCGTCGGCCCCCTCGAGGGACCCGCCGCTGGGGTCTGATCCCACCTAGTCTAGGCGAAAGGAACCTAACCAGCCCGGCGCACCGCCATTTGGTGCCGGGGAAGCCGTCCAGACGCGCTCAGGCCTCAGCCTCCAGCGCGTCGCTCCCCCGCATCGCGCTCTGTGCCGCGCCGCGGCCGGAGGTGGCGCTCTGTGCGCCCAGCGGATCCGGCGCGGGAGGCTCAGACTCCCCGGTTCCTCACGAGCAGCTACTTTCCCTTTCTTCCCTTCCACCCCCTCGAGTTCCCAGCTCAGGTCGTGGCCCGGCCCTTCCACGAGGGAGTGGGGACTTGGAGGACTCGGGCTCCCAGGGCGGGGACGAGGCACGCTGCAGCCCCCCTCCTCCGACCTGGGCGCTCTCCCATCCCGGAATGTGGGTGGGGGTTCTTCATTCAGACGCCCCAGGCATTGGATTCTGGGCGGGGGCGCGTGGCAGCCGCCAGGTGAGTGCCCCAGACGCGCCCCTAAACCCGCCCCGCCTCTCACCAGAGACTCACTCCCCCTCCTTTTATGGAATGGGGGAGGCAGAGGCCCAGGATCCAAACCGTGGAAAGAGGCTGGAGCGCCTAGGCGAGGGGCGGGAGGCGGGGGCCGGCTTGCTTTTGCCCTTTTTGGCGTAGCAGCTCTGGGCGCTGCCCTCTGCTGCCGCTGGGGCCCGAGAGAGGCGAGCCGGCGACGGCGGCGCTTCTGCAGCGGCCTCCTCCCCTCCCCGTCCGGTGCTGCAGGATTGCAGCTGGCACTGGAGGGTGGGCAAGCTCGAGGGAGGGGCGCGCGGGGAGCCTCGGCGGGCGAGCGAAGCCCTGGTGGCTGTGCTCGGAGCCGGGCGCGGGGCCTTGATGGATTTTACTGCCTGCGTGAGCGCGTGTGTGTGCTCACTGCGGCGGCGGCGGCGGCGGCCGGGCCCTGCCCGGTCCGTGCAGCCCCCGCGCGCTTCCGAGGTGCGGGTCCCGGGCCCGGAATCCGGGGGAGGCGAG